CTGGGCAGGGCTGACCCCTGCTGCCTCTGGCTGCCGGAGCTATGAGCCTCTGCCCCTCCCTGCCCTCTGCGCTGGGGCAGTGTGCTGCTCCCTGGGCTGCTCGGAGTGCTGGCTGTGCTGCTGTGGCCTTAAGGATTCTGTGGTTTTGTCCATTCACCCGTTTTCCCCTGAAACCGAGGGGCTCAGACCTGCTGTGTCCTCCCTCTGTGTCCCACCCTCGTGTGTCAGAGAAGCCCAGCGTGTGTCAGCCAGCCTGGCTACCATCAGCTCCCTCACCCAACACTGTCCTTCAGGCACAGGATTCCCTTGCCCAGTGCAGATTTACCTGCTCTGGAGCTGCTCTCCACAGCGAGGAGCTGGGCACCACTGACAGGAGCCTGACCACAGCCTCTTGCTCTTGATCACTATTCCTAACGCTGAGGACCTCAGCGCCAATGGTGGGATGAACTTTCTGGTGACCCTGGAGCAGGGGATGCAGGGGCAGCCCACAGACCAAATGCTCAGACCCTTCCCCTCACCTGCCAAGGGCACTGGCCTGTGCCCAGGGGAACGGTCCCTCCCCCTGGGCCCCCACCTTTCAGCACCAGCAGTGTACCAGGGCAGGAAGAACACATTTAACTGAGAACAACCCGACTTTATTGGTGCCAACGTTAGAGCTCCAGCCCTGGGGACTGTTCACAAGCTGTGGAGCTGGAGGGGTGTGTGCAGCTGGTGGCCCCCACGGCCCTCCCGGGCTGGAGTTCAGTCTTCATGGATGTTGAAAAGCTTTGCTACTTCGTTGAGGTCATCGTGCTCCTCCCCATCTTTGATGATCTGAAGGAGGGAGGGAAGAACACGTTAAAACCAGCACATACCATAAACCCCCAGTGCTGCCAGAACTCTGAACGTGGAGAAAAGCACCCTAACGCTGAGGACCTCAGCCCCAAGATACCTCCTGTAACTGCCCCAAGACAGAGCTGCCATTGGACACTGCACAGCTCTGCTCCAGACAGGGCACCCACACTGAGTTACCCTCACTTGGAAAGGGTGGGGGGTGAGTTCTCCACAGGAGAATCCCCCATCCACACGTGCCTTGCCAGCCAGCACCCCAGCCCTGCACTGACCTTCCGAGCAATGGGCATCCTGTTGAAGATGTTCCACAAGACTATTCCCACCACGACTTTATCCCTGAGGTAGAAAATGACGCCCTTGCCGTAATCTTCTCCTTGCTTCGGGACCTGGGGCGTTGGTGAAGAGCTTGGGGAAATGTGAACCTCTGAGGCTTCTGCTTCTGTTTCGCTCTCCGACCGAATCCCCGTCCCTGGCAGGGAGACAGAGACACCTGCTGCAGCCAGCGTGCCCGGGGGGGATGCAGAGTGAAGAGCAGGGCTCTGCCACACCCTCAGGTGCCCACCCTCGAGTGGTGGCCACCAAAAGGCAAATTCCAGTAACATGAGGATTGAAACAATAACATGAGGTAACGTGAGGATGAAGCAATCCCAGTGTGAGGCACCACACTGGCAATTCCCAACCTCCATCACTGAACACAACAGACAGAAGGGTCTTCTGCAGTCTGCTGCTTCCAGCAGCACAGACAAAACAAACACTCAGAGGCACAGACTCTCCTGTGCAAAACCTGCCCCTCGGGTGGCTATGGAGGAAATTAAGCTGCACTAGGAAAAATTCCAGTTGTGGTTAATGAGAGAGTTGATGTCTTCACGTATGGAGGTTCTCCTCCCCATCCTGTCTACCCCAGTGAGGCACCTGGAGTCCAGGGTCCAGTTCTGGGCTCCCCAGTTCAAGAGGGGCAAAGAACTACTGGAGAGAGTCCAGCAGAGGCTGTGGAGCTGCTGAGGGGCTGGAGCATCTCTGAGCAGGACAGGCTGAGAGCCCTGGGGCTGCTGAGCTGGAGAAGCCTCAGAGGGGATCTGATCAGTGCTGAGCAAGAGCTAAAGGGCCCCAGGGGGCAAGAGGCTGGGGCCAACAAGATGATCACTTCCAATCGGAGCCATGCTGGGATTCTTGGAGGAATGTTATGTTTTAATCACATTTTAATATCAAAACCAGCCTTTAAGGCTTGGTCTAGAGAAGAAGCAAACAAGTTGACGTCTCTAGTGCTCTCAGTAAGGTCAGACTCAGCAGCCACCTCTCAGAGGGAGACACAAACCCTTTGTGAGCACGGGCAGCTCCCCGGGGTGACCGTGGCCCTACCTGACTGCTCTGTGGCACTTTTTGGGGTGTCTTTCGCTGTTGCTTTAGCAAAGACTCCGACTGTTGGCAGACTGCTGTCAACGAGGCCGATGGCTTCGTACCCCACGTTGGGACCCAGATCGCTCCTAGGAACACAGCACAAAGATAATCAAATCACTTGTAGCCTCAGTGGAACAAACACGGGCAATTCCACGAGCCCCAGATCCTGAAGGACAGTGTTGTGGGAGCTCATGCTGCTCGGGCACCTGCTGCATGTGAGCTGGGGTGCCTGCAGGAGGCCACGCCAGGACTGTAAGGAGAATGTGGCAGAAGTGTCCCCAGCTAGGCTGAGTAAAGGGGTGCACCCCACAAAACAACGTGGGTATCTCTGTGTGTGCATGGCTGCCTCCCTGGCCAGGGTCCTCCTGCACAGACTGGGGGCACTGAAGGGAACACCAGTAACGTGTCAGCTAAGCAGAGCAGGCACCCAGCAGTGGGCAGGTCAGAGCGCAGGAGGAACCCTGAACATCCTGAAAAAATCCTGCCAAGTGCCAGCTTTTTAGGGCAGGAGCAGGAAGTCTCACTGGGTGAGGGCTGGCAAACCCCCAGAGCTAGAGCCTGCCAGCAGAACACGGGACTGCAGCTCAGGCCCTGCTGCTGGCATCTGTGTGTGCCAGAGCATCCCGAGGCAAAGCACACCCCTGACATGGAAACTGCTGGGTGCCTGTGGGAAAGCAGAGTGAGGAACTCCTGTGGGTCCTGAGCCCGTGGGCCACAGAGTGTGCAGGGGAATCCCAGCAGGCACTATTTCTGAGGTGATTTCTCTAAGAAAAGTAGAACTCTTCTCCTCTTAAACCCTTGCTAGCTTTAAATCCTGATCTTGAGCTTGCAAGGCTTTGGGATTTTATTTGGTTTTGGGTTTGGTTTTGTTTAAACAAGAACTTCACCGAGATGCAGCAGAACTGCCCCTGTTTCTCAAGACCTCTCTCTGGAAAACAACATGCTTCCAGGTGTGCTCCTGAACACAGCTACCTGCTGCCAAAGCATCAGCCTGGCTCCTCAGCAAAAACAGGCAGACTGTGCTGGGGGACTTCAGATCCCTGTCTCAGAAAAGCTGCTGCTCAACACGGCCCATAAACCAGCCTGTTCTGAGGAAAGGGGCTGAAGGGGAGAAACTGGGAGCTGCAGGAAGGAAAAACATTTCAGGGAGGGCAGGGCAGCAAACACTCCAACACTGCCCCACTCCCTCAGCTTCTGGGCACAAGGAGCTGCACGAGCCCCTTGCTGAGGCAGTTTCACTGCAGTCAGGAACCAGCAACCTTTACAAAGTGTGTCCTGTCAGCGCTGCCACGAGGTGGCCAGGAAGCACCAGGAGGAGGAATGGGCGTTACCAGAACATGGACTGATGCCAGTAGGGCTTTGCAGCTCCTGTCATGTTTTCTCCAGCTAGTCTTCCACTCACAACAGCATGATCGTGGTGCTCAACCCGCCTCCTGCCCAGCTTGATGTCATAGAAGCAGGCAGCATCCCCTGCCTTAAAAAGAACCATTTGGTGAGGACCAAACCATAGCAAGCTCAACACCCAAACAAATAAGGCACTAGGAGGAAGACAAAGTGCAACTATGAACTGAGTTTTCCTGAGAGCCCTCCATCACCACCACCACCTCCCACTCCCCAGGCTACACAGCTCCGAATTTCTCATCATTTTTACCTATCTCTGTAAAAATAAGACAAGACCAAGCACGTTTCTCCAGAGGAATCCAAGTCTCAACTCCCACCAGGAGGACTCTTACACCACAGCTATGTTTAGGTCACCCCAACTCTTCTCACACAGCACAGAAGTTCAGCTGCTGGCACCACCACAGCTCTGGAGTGTGCCACGGTGTGCCAGCGGGCACGGGGCTGTGCCCGGAGCTGCCCCACGCTCCCTGGGTTTGCCCCACTCCCCGCCCGAGGTCCTGGACTGCGTGTTCTGAGGGCAGCAGTGCAGGCAGCAGTGCAGGCAGCAGTGCAGGCAGCAGTGCAGGCAGCACCCCTCTGCAGGACTCACCACCCAGATGTTGGAGCGCGCCTGCAGCTCCGCGTTCACCCGGAACCCGCCGAAGTCGGAGTCCACCTCCAGCCCAGCTGACTTGGCCAGCTCCACGTTGGGCTCCAGCCCCACTGCAGCCACGATGTGATCGGTCTCCACCTGTTTGGGAACCCACCAGCATCACCTTCACTCTGCCAGTGCCTCTGCCAGCTTGAGGCCCTCCCTGGCTTTGTGTTTACCTTCCGGCCGTCTTTGAGTTTAATCACCAGCCGATTGCCACTGACAGAGACAGACTTGACCACGGCGTTGGGCATGACATTAACACCCTCTGGAAACAGACACAGCACACAGAACAGCCCCCTCAGGGTAGACCTCAGCCAAATGGGGCATCTCTGGTGCAGCGAGACGCAGGCAGAGCAGGGGCCAGGTTAGGAACCAAGGGAGAGGCCACCTGATCTCTGCAGCATGTGCCAGCACAGCTTTGGGGGAAGCATGAGGAGAAAGAAACCCAGCTCAGAGTCTGAAAGAGCTACTTAAAGGACAATCAGAAGTGCACATCTCATATGATGACAAGGTCCCAGCCAAAGCTGCTCCTGAAGACAAGGTCTTCAGGCCCTATCAGCATTCAACTCCCTATGGCTCTGTCACAGCCAGACCCAGAGGCCCAACAGGGCAGCTTCTATAAATAAAATCCAGTAGCTCAGACCAGTGATAGCAGCCCCTGCAAGCTGCAGCCCCAGCTGTCCTCCCAGTTGGGAGACACCCAGAGCCTCCTCCCTCTGTCCCCACTCCACTGACCATCACCCAGGAATATACTCTACACTTAATGGGGCTGCACTCCCCAAGGAAGAGCCCACAGCAGCCACAGGCCCTGGTGCCACTCACGCAGGGGGGCACTGATGTGCAGCCTCACCTCTCCTGACTTTCTCTGTGGTCCAGTTGCTCAGATATTCAGGCAAGACTTTGCCCATGTTGCCGTTCTCTGGAAAGAGCTGAATGACCTCCAGGCCTCTGGTTCGTGCTGGAAGGAAAGCAGAGAGCAGGAGTCTTACCACCCATGGGGAAAGAGCAGCAGCACTCACGTCAGGAGACAAGCACATGCTTTGCTCTACACAAGGAGCTTCACAGCAGCTTCCAAAACTGAGAGCTGTGGCTCCCAGACCTTCCAGAGGAGTCGCAGAGTGACTGACCACACACCTGCAAACTCCAGGATAACAGACAGCAGACTTTAAGCAAAAATGCTTGATGTTTTGGAGAAAACTTCCCTTATCAGAAAAATTACCAGAAAGATGCTACTCAAAAAGCTGTGCATGCTTGACAGTAAGAATCCAGTTGTTCACCACCTCTTTGGAATAATGAACAGTTTCAGGGTGGCTTTTAGCATTGAGAGCACAAACAAAATGTTTTACAGGGCAGAATGACTTCACACCACGTGCTGGCCCGTGGAGCTTCCAGGCAGCCCAACTGAACACACACGGGGTGGTGAGGGGCTGCCTGACAGCTTAGGAGAGAAAATGGAAACCCAGGCCACACAGCCAACACAACACACCAGTCAGGGGGTTAGTTCGGGTTGTTTCAGGCAAACCACAAGTCTCTGCAAGAACTCTGCAGTCAGGGAATGAAAAAGATGTGTACAAGGTCAGCACACTCACCTCTCCTCCCCAGAGCACAGGCCAGCTCGCTGCCCAGAAAGCCACCACCAATGATTGTGATAGACTTGACTTGTCTTGAAATCTTCTCCAGGTTTCTGAAATCCTCAATCTGAAAGAAGATTTATCCCCATGTCAAATACCCTCAGACAGGAAGATACTTTTCTGCAGCTTCTCCCTTTGAAATGAGAGCAACTCTGTCCCCAGCTTAGAACAGGAAACATGTTTCTCCTCACTCCTGTTCACCTATTGCACAAAAAAACCTTTGTCATGTTTATGAAAATTCCTCTGCCCAGGCAGTCCAGTTCCTGTCTTTTCCCCTAACTTTCAAGAGCAATTGCAATGACATTTCTAGGTGCAAATGTACTACAGAGAGCACCACAAGGATGCCACAGCTCATGTCATTCTTCTTTCCCTTTCAACAGCTAAACAAACCAGACCTTAGGGGAACTCCAGCACTGAGCAGAAGGTTATAGAATCATAGAAGTGTTTGGGTTGGAAGTGACCTCTCAAGGTCATCTCATCCAGCCCCTGCAGGGAGCAGGGACACCCCCAAGCAGAGCAGGGTGCTCAGAGCTCCATCCAACCTCCCCTGGGATGGCTCCAGGGATGGGGCAGTGACCACCTCTCTGGGCAGCCTGGGACAGGGGCTCACCACCCTCAGCATCACAAATGTCTTCCTTCTAGCTCACTTAAATCTCCCTCTTCTAGTTTAAAACTACCACCTCTTGTCCTGTTGCAGCAGGCCCTGCTAAGGCCTGTCCCCATCAGGTTCCCCCATAGCTCCTCATTCCTGATTCACTCCCTGGACTAGATTAAGGAGAAAGTCCATGCCTCCTCTACATCCCATGTTTTCAAGAAAAGTGGAGTTTGTCCACAAAAGCAACAGAGAAGGCCACTGACCAACTTTTATTCACTTTGTCCCAGGGCACAGGATGAAGGTGAGGAAATGCCTGACACAGGCATGGCTATCAGCTTATCAGATCACCAGAAAATGATCTGAGCCAACCCGAGAGCTACCGTGAGCTAATAAATAATCACATTATTACAGCTCTCAGGCCTGAGGCAAGCAGACAAGAGGTGGAGCAGACTACACCCTGTTCACCTCCATGGGGAAAAGGAATAAGGAGCAGATGGCCTCGTGGTCACCAGCTGAGGGAGGCAGCTGTCCAGGCAAGGCATGCTGGACCCACAGCAGAAGAGGTTACAAGCTGGAAATAGTGGTTGTGGCTCTGATTTTCCCAGTTTCAGCCCAGGACTAGCAGTGCCTGCAGGTTACCTTCCTGAACAGCGTCAGCCTCTGCTGCACATCCTTCCCTGCTCTTTCAATGGCTGGGAGGTTCCTTGGAGAGCCACCTGAGGACAAGGGGAGAGAGGAGAGAGACTAATGATGCTGTGGCCATGCCCGTGGCAATGCAGACAAGGCAAAGCTATCTTCCAGCTGGACTCCTGCAGTATGCTCTGTTCACTGTTGCTGTCCACGTTTGGACCATGGAAGACCCTCTGTGCGAGCAGCAGCTGGCCCAAGAGTCACCCAGGGGAAGAAGATCTAATGCTCTGCACCTTGCTCTGCTGACTGCAGGGGCCCAGCCCCATCCTGACCACAGAGGGCTGCAGAACTGCTCGGGTCAGATCCTGCACCAGCACTCTGGCCAAGCAAGAGCTGGCTGTGCCCCCTGCTGCTGCTACAGGCAGGGCTGGAAGAGGCTGGCCTGTACAGGAGTCCCTGAAGCCAGGGAAGTCACCTTTTCCTCCTGCTCTGTGGATTTTCACAGGGCAAAGCTTTCAGTGTCCCACAGAAGCTGGCTGATGTGAGGCAGGCCAAAAACCCCCTGCCCTGGTTGTCTGTGTGACTGTCCTTCAAGTGACTGCCCTACCAAGTGTCTCACACACTGCAGAAACTCCCTTGTCAGATAAATGCCACAGAAATAAAAAGCCTGTCACAAGATGAAGAACAAAGAAAAAAAACCCTAACAGCTCACCAGTGGCAATCAGACATTTGTCGTAGGATATCTGGGTACCATCACTGAGCTTCACAGTGTTGCCTCTCACATCCATGTGCACAACCTGCACAAGAAAACACACAGGAGCTTGAGTCCAGCTGCACAGAGAACTGGTCAGAGAAGCAAACTGGGAAGTGACACTCTCCCACCCTGAAGTTTAGGGGGGAGTGGGAGAGGGAAATGGAGAAGACTGGAAGTAGGAATTGAGACAATGTCTTTGGCAGCCACCCTAGATCAGGTGGATCCTCCCAGGATCTAAGAAGTGGACTCGACCCCTGGTGTGGTTCGACAGACAGAGGTGTCCCTGAGACCTCACGCCAGCATCACAGGACACCTGAGGGGGCAGGTCTGTGAGAGGCCTCACCACACACTCCTCCCCGTTCCTGCTGCCTCTGCACGATGCTCTTGCTGATGTCATAACCATCATAACTCAGACTGCTCTACATGTTCTTGTCCCATGCCCAAGCTCTGGATCTATCCTTCCCCATCTTCCCCCAGCTCACTCCTGTTCCTCACGGCTCTTCCTGTGTTCAGTCCTCACTCCCGCTGTCCTTAGGACAAGCCAGGGCAGTCTCCACTTCCTCACGTGCCCCCTCCCAGAGCTGTGTGCTCCCTCCTCCCGAGCCAGCCCCCCCAGCACAGCCCCTGTTCAGGCCCAGCCCTGGGGAGGGGCTGCACGGGGCGGGCTGTGCTGCACCCACCTTCCTGCCGCTCAGCACGGCCACGCCGCCGTTCTCCACCGAGAGCAGGTCCCGCACCGGCACGTAGAACGAGGGAGGCTGGAAATAGATACTGAAAAAAGCCCCGTTACCAAAGGGGTTCTGCCTTCCCTCAGCTCTCCAGCAACCACCGAGGACACCCACAGCTCTACCCATCTGTAACAAGCGCCCAAATTCTTATTTATCTGACTTTTTAACCATCGGGGTCTTCCCGCTGCTGAAGTTCAAGGGTTTAGATCAATAAGCCTTGATCACAAAAGTCACAAGGATGAAACGTGAGGCTGCAGCTGTGCTGTGAACTCTGACACTGTCTCCTCCCCTTCAGCACTCGCTTGTCTCAGGGTTCTGGCAGTGGTGGTGTCTGCCCGAGGGGACAGCACGCACACCCCAGGGCTCCCTTCCCACACAGAGACCTCCCCACACCACTCTGCAGCCCCCCAAGCTCTCTGGAGGTTCCCTCACAACAACTGTTGGATCGACGCTGACTTTCTGCTAACCCCTGCCCTTCCTCCCTGCTCCCCAGCACGGCACCTACCTCCTCTCCTTCCCGTTCCACTGCTTGAACCGCAGCGTCTCCGTCACGTTGGGATCGTCTGAAAACCACAGCTCTTTGGAAAGAGGGGGACGCATATAGGGCAGGGCAGGATCCTCAGACACGATCAGCACCTTCAGAAAGCCATTGAACTCGGCAGCTGCACGGGTGCCAGGCACAGAGCAGCCCGTGTGGCTGAGGCTCTGAGGCACCCCCGGCCCCGCTGGCCCCGGCAGCTCTGCTCTTACCCGGGCGCCGGGGTCCCGAGCCCGGATGGATCTGGCAGCAGCAAAAGCAGCAGTTCCTCCACCAATCAGCACGAAGGGGACGTCAGGTGACAGACAGGACAGCTTACTGCACACACAGCAGGGAAACTGGCCCTGCTGACACAACAGCCCACGCCACCGGAGGCCTTTCCCCTACAGACTCCCTCGGG